GTAGGGTCAGCTTTAGATTCCCAACACCATAAAGTTTGTGACAGTTTCCCAAAGTCTGTTATTTTGCCACTAACACTTGCGGTAGCGACCAGAACTAACTAATCAGCAAATTACTATCATGCTCTTTTGTGCAAAAATAAAGTGCTACAGTCGATTCGTGCGTCCATAATTTATGGACAATCCCTGTACAGCACTAAAATAACCTTTGAGTGTCTACCTACCTACTAGAGATAAATGAGGGTTACTGATTTGTGTGAGGAATTAAGATTAGGATTTACATTTGAACGTTAGGGATAAAATTTAACGTTTTCGTCACGAGGTGACATCAGCCAGTGTCAAAATGATGCTAGGTAAGTGAGTGAATAAATTTTGCTCATAAATTCAAGACCTGTTGTTTCGTCCATACTTTATAGCCTCGTCATAAATCCGAATTCTTGGATTTTGTGCTGACATTTAAGAAGTGGCGATGGTCGTTGATGTGGTCAGTCGGCTTTAATAAACATGAAACCTAGCACATGTAGATCGATTAAGGATATCACACCGCACTAGAACAGCTAAGTGAAATTTTCAAAACGAATATCAAAGTAGTAGAAATAGTGGGAGTATCACTAATAGTAAGAACGGCTGCGTACAGAAATAAATCCTCGTTATGTTTCTTAGGCCAGATTGTAGACTGATTTTTTTGCCTAGAGACAAACTTTTAGGTCACTGTAGCTCGTAAGTGTTGTGTTGGTGGTCTGTCCCAGGGTAACACTTGAAGGCTCAACTACTAGTTTTTTTTCGACTAGAATGAAGTAGGATTTTCTGTCTGACCATTTGTTTTGACCCTTCTCGAAACTAGTCATCCAACAAACCTTGACAAGGATGTCGTGCAAGTGTGTTATATCTTTGAGACAGGAACATGTATTTACGTTGCACCCTGAATTGGTCCAAGTCACCACTTCTCAATAAAATCAAGGATAATTCATATTCCGGATCGCGTGCTACATACTCCATCATCAGGTTGCCACCAGCTGAATTTTTAGCCGTAACGACTCGTTATTGTTGTTTTACATCCCATAGCTTTATTTTAAATCATGTGAATAAAATAGGATTGATTTCAGTCTGACAACATCATGTAAAGCAATACTTTAGTTGTATTTTCATCCAGGCTTTCTTCAGTCTGATGTAAAATTACCTGAAAATTACATAAAAGTTTCAGTATTACCAAACCTCATCATAGTAGATACGAATTACTGTTGCGTGATAAAGATATACTCGAATCTATATTTGACTTTATTATCGAACTATATCGCTCAACAATTAAACACTCAATTCTCACGATCACACTTGGATACTGCTACAGCTGTGCAGATTCTAACAACCCATTATTATCACAATACTTCGTAACATGTCATTTATGACCAGAGACACTAACCTAAACGCGATCATTGAGTACACCGTCATTATTCCATGTTTACAGAATTTCCAAATTATTGGCAATTTGCGAAAATGCCGATATGTTTAACAGCTGTGGTGATCTGTCGCTAAACTTTTATCATGATTTTAACGTGAAAATGCAATTATTCCCGGTGTTTAAAAGTGATGACGTTCAGATAATGAAAATAACCTTTAAGGCGTACTTAGTACCTATCAAAGTGTACCGTATCTGGAACCCGGGGCGCATTGTACTATGTATTAAATAGTTAGAGATAATGTGCTCGTTGATAATTGTAATTTAAATTTTAAAAATTTCTACCGCTTGACAAACAAATATAAGATAACTAATGAATATTGTGCGATTAACATTACAAACAAGGGGTGTTTTATTGTTCGATGTAAGTTTTAAGACTGTTGGTGTTAAGGGTAGAATTTCATACTGCAGGTGCACTAACCATCGTAAGCTTTTTCCGGACTTTCTTCTTAATAAGTCCACTATGAATAAGTACCAAAGAGTAGTCATAATATGTGAATCTATTTATATTTATATAGGTACTAATCAATTGCCGAAACAATAAAAAACTCTTAGCTAGAGTAAAAGCATTCGACAGGCATTGCAATATGGTATTAGAAAATGTCAAAGAAATGTGGACTGAAGTACCTCGGCCAGGCAAAGGTAAAAAGAAGTCCAAACCGGTAAACAAGGATAGATTCATCAGTAAACTGTTTTTACGTGGTGATTCCGTTATTCTTGTTCTTCGCAACCCTCTGGCTACTGCTGCAGCTGCTCCTAGACCATAAGTATTCCCTCGTATCCATCCTGTAATTCTGATATGTTTTATAAATAAATTTGAACTGATGTTCTCTCATTTTCTTAAAGCATTCTTCGTTCTCAGTCTACTGAAAGTTCAGTTCAGGTAACTGAGTGGCAGAAATTCGAAACCTCTTGTCTATCATAGGATTCATCTGAGCAACTCATGCATATCTTAGTGTTCTTACCTGCCAAACTAGTCTTGTGCTAGGTAGATTAAAACTGGTCATAACTTAGTTGATTTATTATAAAAAACTTCTACAGTCTCATGTGATTTAAGATAAACTGTTAAACTTAAGTTAATAAAAGTTTGTCATATCAATAAAAGTAAAGAATAGTTCCTAAAGTGCTATACCTAATACCACGTGTGATCCTGTGCTTACAATTTTCAAGTTGTAAAATTCTGACCCTACCACTACTAGTATAATAAGTCACCTGTGATCCGTTAGTCGACCAACCAGTGGTAAGTTCAATTCAGCTACAGTCAAATCTGAATATAATAAGATGTTTGGAAAAGACACATAATTGTGGTCCTCCTTAATTATGTCAAGCCGTCTATATCCATGTAACTGTTTGTTATTATAATTCTTTCAATCTAAACAATAAAAGTTCTATTACACTTGAATTCTGGCAAGGCATTCGAGTTCTTATTACTCCTTTGTTATTAGGTAACTAAAAGTACATAGTCGCACCATGAAACTTATTGTACTAATCAATATTAATACTATTGTGAGGAGATTCTATGTTATCTTAGGTGATTTAAAACTAATTGTACCTGAAGTTGATGTTGTAAAATATAATATTTATTTATTTATTTAAACATGAACAATTTGTGTGAGGGCTGGGATACTGCCCGGGTGCCCAAACCGAAGCAGGTGGTTTTCGTAGGGGTCACACCCACAGCCTTTGACCTAAAGGTCTGATCTACAAGGCAGTGGAGCAACGTCAGGAGATGCAGTCCCATGGCAGTCGGTGACCAACAGTAGGTTCATAAGCCATTTGTTCCCTCAGGATACTGGAGCCCATGTGCACCATTGGTTTAGAGTCAGGGTTTCCCAATCCCCCTAGATGGATCCTCCATATTCACCAACCCGGTTAAAGCGTCAAACATTCGCTTTTCGTCCTCTCAATTTCGTAAACAACACCCCCGCCGCAAGAAGGCAGTGAGTAGGACTTACCTGGCAGTGGTTGTATGCACGTGGCCATGTGAGAGCATTTGGAAAGGGAGAACTGACTCTACCCACTCTCTTTGCCTTATCAAGGGACTTGGGAACTAATGTAATCATCTACCATTAAAAACACCAATCTCATTCAAAATCTCCATTGTTTTTATTCATTGATTCAGACCAATAGGAAGTTTTTTCTTCTTATAATTACTAGTTTCTTACCATTAAAACAATGGAAATCAAGCTTGTAAGCAATTGATAAAGTGATGGAACTTCATCAGTTGAGGTGGCTGGGACACGTGTTACGTATGCCCAACGACCGACTGCCTCGACGTGCGATGTTCAGTGGTATAGGAGTAGGTTGGAAGAAAGCTAGGGGCGGCCAGACCAAAACATAGCACAAGTCCATGAAGTCACTGACAAGTGGACTGAGTCATGCTGGTAGGTGTAGACTACCTGATTGGGGTCTGCGAGACGATATAAACCGATGGTTAGAGACCTTGAATAATATGGCTCAAAATGGTTTGGAATGGCGCAGGTGCATCCACTCTTTGTGTTCTCCCAAATTTTAATCTCCTGATTCCTCCTTGTCTCTTTTTTTTTCCAAATTTATTTCACTGGGTTTTACTCTTTAAATAACATCTTCGAACCCTAATCTTCCCTATTACTGCTTATACTCTCACTACCTCTACCACTACGGGATTTTGATCGACAACTGCATCTCTATGCTAATGTGGTATGGCAACTCGGACTAATGTACGTACGTACAGAGCTCTACGTTGTTACTGATTGACTGACTGACATGTTCTCGCATGAGATCTATATTATTGAGATTCAATTCATCAAAGTGTAAATAGTCACATTATAGATGAACAATTAACAACAATGTCAATGATGTTTTTATTATGTAAATTTTACCAAATAACAAAATGAATAAACTAATCAAGCAGAAATAAGCTTAGATAAAATACAAAATTAATTATCTTTCTGCATTATTCATACATACTATTTCATTTTTGCTTTAACTATGAAGATGAAATAAAAATAATAAGATATGGAAATAAGAGTTGAAAAATACAGAAAGCTGAAAAAACAAACAAACAAACAACAACACTAAGACCTTTTCATTAGAAAGTAATAGATTATATTGTAGTCGGTTCTGTTTTCTTTCATATTTCAGCGAGTACAAATCTCTATGTACATATTGAATGTAAACATTCATCAATAAAATATTATGTTATACAGACTATTAAAAGCTAAACCGTCTTAAAATGCATCTGACCATCACTATCATTATCAGTGCAATATATATATATATATATATATATATATATATATATATATATATATATATATATTATAAAATACATAAGTGAAGAAAACTGTTAAGTGATGACATTGAAAGAACAAAAGAAGGCGGGAAATGTGAATTTATATCTGTGTTATATATATGTGCGACAAGCTAAACGGTTGAAACAATAATTAATGATGAGAAGTAATTAATTAATTAATTAACCAGAATAGTGAAACACAATGCTCAAGTATGTTTTACTTAGTAGAGGAAATAAACTAAAGAAAATTATGCACATTTTTGAAATGTTTCTTTGTTTTGACAATGAATGTTATCATCAGTATCATTATTATTACTCTGACTAATATCAGTAGTTAGTATTCTTGAGTTGAATTTTATATTTAAGCGAATGTTATAAGTGGTACATTAGTTTGTTGTTTTGGTGGTGATGTTGGCTCTTGTTGTTGTGATGATGTATCTGAAGTCGGTGATGATAACTTGTTATGAATGCTGTCATTATTATCTAACGGAATAGTACTAACAGATGTTGTTTGTAATGTTGGATTTGTACAATTTTCTACCGGACCTACTACTTGTTCATTTGATTTAACATTCACTAAGGAGACAATACTACTGTTATTTTTATCATTATTATTATTATCAATACGATTGCTGGTCATTGAAGCTGACGATGTTGAATTGCAGCACATATTAGTGTGACAATCAGTTACTATTGTTGATAGTTTCTCAGTAGTAGGTTGGGTAGATAAAATTAGCCGATCTGTAATGTTACAGTGTTGATCTAAAGCTAAATTACTTTGAGAATTTGAATTGTTCCTGTTTAAATCATTATTATTATTAAAATGAATATGATTGATATTGTCATGATTATCAATTAATGATAATGATGATAAACATGGTACTAGTTTTGTTGTTTCTGTAGGTGATGATGGTGTTGATGCTGATGATAATCCAAGTTCAAGGAATCGTTCACGTTTAAATACACTTAGTGTACCTTTAGCTTTATTTTCGTTTACACTAAATAAAGAAAAGACATTAAAAATGAAATTTATTTTAGTTTAATATTTACTTAATTTCATACAAATATTATTATTAATCAAACAACCAATATCTAGTAACTGAAAACTCTTAATGCTATGTGGATAACCAGTCATCCATTAAGAATTTAATTACTAAACTTTCAGTTAATTTATCATATATAGTCAACATAGAGCCTGGTATAAATGTGTGTTCGCTCGAATTATCATACCGTAATAACATGATAAGATGAATTGAAAAAAAAGTCGATATAATTTGAACAAATGTAACTTAAAGGTATATATAAATAATCTGCAAAAGATGCAGATGAGGGTGAAGTGAGAATATATCTACCGCCATTATGACAGATTCCAAGTTATGTCACAGAGGTATGCACTAACTGCTTCCATAAGTCAGAACTACGAAATGAATTATTATTTTTTCTGGCTAGCGTTTTTTTTAATGAGTTACTTTTCTACGGGAGGTTCAGATGCAGACGTAAATGCGAAGATTGGCAAAGTAATGGCCGCATTCCTACAATTGAAGAACATATGGAACTGAAAACAACTTTCAACAAATATCAAAGTCATAATCTTCAATACGAACGTCAACACAGACAGTTCTACTATACGGAGATGAAACTTGGAGAACTACTACAACCATCATCAAGAAGTATTTAGAAATAGCTGTCCACGCAAGATACCCAACATCCATTGGCTGGATACCATCAGCAACAGCCTTCTGGGGGAGAGAACATACCAGCTTCCAGTTAAAGAGAAATTAGGAAAAGACGATGGAGTTGGTGGATAGGATATACATTACGCAAATCATCAAGGTGCATCACGAGGCAAGCCCTAACTTGGAATCCTGAAGGGAAGCGGAAAAGAGGAAGGCTAAAGAACACATTACGTCAGGAAATAGAATCATATATGAAAAGGATGAATAACAACTGGAAGGAGCTAGAAAGGATTGTCCAGGATAGGGTTAGATGGAGAATGCTGGTGAGCAGCCTATTCTCCTTCACGAGGAGTAACAGGCGTAAGTAAGTAACGAAATGAATAACCCTGAGGTTACGTATATGATGTTATGTATATAGAGTAAACCAATTATTAAGGTATGAAACCTCATCATCTAAGTAGTACATTAGAACAGGCAAAAGTGGTCAAACAAAAACATGTCATCAGTTCATGAAGTTACTGACTGTTGTCCTGAGCAGTGTCGGAAAATTTCAATCTCTTGGCTTACATGAGACAACCATCTTCCATGTTTAAATACTAATGTAGGAGGTTCTATGTTGGTGGAAGTGACTGATTGAAACAATCCAGTTACTTACATTTTCACCAACTAATTTTTTATTATTCAGTTGATTACCCAATTTGATTTGTTTTAATAAAAATGGATATGCAAAAAAAACCCACTAAATAATTCAACTTACCAATCATAGATAATTCCATCCACACCCAATTGTGTGAGTAATATACGTTTTTCCGGTATGTTTACAGCTTCACCCCATGCTAATACAACTAGTTTATGTGAATGTGCTAATTCAATAATTCCTGGGACTTTTAATAAACGATCACTTTCTAAACATACTCCCTGTTATTCATGATTCATAGTGTAAAAAGATAGGAAAAAACAGAAAAAAATCTAGATGTTTTATTTAGGTATTATGAATATATTTACTATCAAAACAAATAACTTTACTGAGATTTTGGAAGATGAATGCAGCTGTGCTAATGTGACCGATCTATTGTACTATCCCACTCGACTTTGATCGTTGTTTACCCCCCCCCCACTAACCAGCTAGTTTGCACATGTAGGTCAGAACTGCAATTTGTAGTCAGTTAGGTACATTTTGATGTTTGCACTTAAACAAACAGTTTTTTACAATGAATAATCACAATCTAATTTGGTTTCTTCAATAAATTGGTTATCCGTAGACAAGAGGAGTTCTATCTTAAGCTCAAATAAGGGTTTTATCATGTTCAAGTTACATTATGTTCGATTAGCTCTTTTGGGATTAAAACGACTTCTAAACAGTGTTGAAGCAATAAACATACGAATAGTCGATATTATTGTAGTATATATATCTAGAGATAGACAAGGATTCGTATGTAAAAATGTACATCGATGAAAGGTCAGGATTAGTTGTATATGAATACTTATGATGTAACCAATAACTTTACAAACACACATGTATAGGTGAGATAAGTTGACAGCGGTTTGTATCGATTCGTCATAAAAATTCACGACGGCATTGTAAATATGATTAAGTGCTTATTATATTCCAAGTGTATATGGGGTCGCTAGACATATCGCAAAATAATTGCTGTAGTTTCAGGGGCTGTTGTTGGATGCAACGGTAAAGATAACTGTTGTTAGTATGTATAGATTTTTCTATATCTCAATTCACTGAATCCATTAATACAATTCACACAGTGAAGTGTTAATGTTTAAGGAATAGTGGGATTAGAATTGTTTTGAACAGATCACTTGTTAAGGAAAAACCTGTCGATTGTATTTAGTCATCTGAGATTAAACAATGTGCACAGCGACTTGTTCAATAAGGTCCAGTCTCCAATACGGACAGGAAAACATGACATACTAGTTATCTATCATTGAGTGATTTAGTGTAATCTGTTAACTTTCCTATATCTTTGAGATGTATGATAACACGAATACTTTGGTAAATTAACCGTAACGTTACAAGTTTATCTACTTGTAACATAAAACAGTAGTACTATTATCTGTTCAATAAACAATACCGATGGAAATGAAATATTTCGATGAAAATGTGTTATCATTACATGATCAAATGATAACTTACCAAGAGTTGATGACTTAATGCAGACCAAAATAAACTTTGAAAGTCAGCATGTCGAGTATCTGCATATTCCGGGGATATTCCAAGTTGAAAGACTGGATAAATTTGTTGTTTTAACTGAAGCCTGTTAAATGATGAGGGTTACAGGTTCATGAGGTGGAGTAGGGAAGACGAAAATAAAAACTTCTCATGTAACAAAAACTAACATTATGTGTTATTTAAATAAGATTAAGTGAATGATACATAATTATTATATATTAAGCTAAAAATTAACCGATTAAGGATAAAGTGGAAAAAATTATATAATAACTTACATTACACAGACATTTGGATCAAAACATGATAATAAAATACGTCTTTTACCAGCATGTGTTAAGATTTCACGTAGGATAGTATCGACATAAAAGTTGTACTCGAAGAAATGATCCATTTCTGAGCTGCCATCCTACGTACACAGAAAAAGTAAAGAATAAAGATGAAGAATCCTTAGGTTACCGATGTGATTAAATAATAACCAAGTGGGATGAGAATGGATCCAATTTTAAGTATACCCGCTTTATTTGAATAGTTAGATAATAGTGGCTTAGTGATTAGGGTGTTCGATTTCCAACCAATAAGTCTCAAGTCCGAGCTCCGTCTAATCTACTTTGGTCTAGCTAACCGGGTTGTATCATTGAGAGTGTGGCTGACACCCAAGTACCTGGTAGATGAGTTAACCAAACTTAAAAACAACATTCATTAGGCAAATTCGGTTCACATAACTACTTAAGTGTGGCTACTATTATAGTGACCGAACACTCAGGTGGGGACAACCAATTTATGTTGTCTAACACACAACTATAGAATTCTATGGCAAATTGTGAAAACATTCTTTTGACAGGCATCCAACTTCCGATTGGCGTTATATACTACTTATGTTTGTCGACATGAGTAGCATACGTTAATTTATAACAAATCAGGTAGGTAAAAATGTTCGAACTCATTAATTAATGGTCCGAAGCCAATCGAAAGCAAAGTAAATTCCACACAGACTTCATTCTTTTTTGTGTCTATCAACTTAGGTATTTATCAGACCTGTTGGCAACTGGTATTTCCTCCCAAGTGTTTTACAGTCCGAATCAGCAACATAAACCATGACCATAATAAAAAAAATCATATGCATAACATTGGATACTTCCCAATGATGGATTATTGTATTCGATTCAGCTATAAAATAGTTTGTGACTCTGGTGTAAAGAATAACGTTAACATTTATGGAAAAATATCAGTACCTTCGAAAAGAGTAATAGTAGATACACAAACAAGCTACCAACGAATGTTGATAAATCTAGAGCTTAATTGCAAGAATCTCCTGTTAATAACTATTCAACACCAGAAATCACTTCAATAATAACAGGTTACATGAAAAAAAGGAACTAAAATTGTACGATGTTTCATCTTATCACTTCGATACAACACAGCATGCAACAATGGAATCACACTTGACGGAGAAGATTTGGAAGATGTAAAAACCGCAGCATTATTGATGAACACGGCGGATCTGATGCAGATGTGAATGCGCAGATCGGCAAAGCAACAGTAGCATATTTACAATTAAAGAACATCTAGAACTCAAAACAACTCTCTGTCAAACAACACCAAGGTCAGAATTTTCAACACAAATGTCAACACAGTTCTACTGTAAGTTGCGAAACGTGGAGAACTACGAATACCATCATCCAGAAGATAAAAGTGTTTATTAACAACTGTATACGCAAAATATTTCGAATCCGTTGACCAGACACTATCAGCAACAACCTAGTGTGGGAGAGAAAAAACCCCATCCCAACGGAGGAAGAAATCAGGAAGTGCTGGAAGTGGATAGAACACACATTGAGGAAAGGACCGAACTGGATCACGAGGCAAACCCTTACAGAGGATCCTCGAGGCCGAAGGAGAAGAGGAAGACCAAGGGATACATTACGCCGTGAAATGGAGACAGACATGAGAAGAATGAACAATTGGATAGAATTGGAAAGGAAGGCCCAGGACAGAGTGGGTTGAAGAATGCTGGTCGGCGGCCTATGCTCCATTGTGAGTAACAGGAGTAAGTCATGTTATCACTTTAAATGAAACAATCTATCAAAAGGAATTAAGTTATCATCGATTAATCAATGTTAACTTGTAAAACTTATCAAAACAATGTAAACAATTTAATATGCTTAATTATATTAGCCATTAGTTGTCATGGCTACATGAAACTATTTATAACAGGATAAAATGTATAGATTAGAATAACATATAAATATAAGCGAATATTAATATATTTATATGGAGAAAATAAAACACAACTAAACTGATTAAACCAGTTTATGAATCAATGATAATAATGAAAAGGATTGCATAACTAATTATAATAAATAGAAATTTCACATCGATAGTACGGATAATGGAAATGCCACAGGTATTTTAAATTTGACAATGCTTTAACCAGTAGCATCTATTACGAATTGTGCCCACCTAGTGAAATCAAAAGCCAGAATTGAGGAGGTTTGAATATATATTTGATAGATTATCAAGTGATTGATCTAAACTGGCTAGGGATTTGTGAGAGAACTTGAGCACGGCGTTTTCACTCGTGATTTGATGCGGATGCATGACTGAGAGCCTTCAGCTAGATGAGTTCATTAAAACTAATGTGGTTAGCATCCAATGTCGAAAACTTACAGAGCTATTGATTTTGGGGATTTATTTACCACTACAATGACATTTATAATAATAAACAGGGTAATAACATGAACAAATATTTGAATATGAAAATATAACTCCATAGCTTGATAAAAATGAACTTGAAAATCTTTTTATTAAGATAGTGATCATAAATTGACTGAAATTAGACATTGACATCAACTCCGCCTAGAGCCCCTCTGGGGCTATTGCTGGTCCCAAGCCCAGATAAAGGCGAAAGGTTGAGTATGGGATTACCGACCCCATCCTGTAGAAAACTAACTCGGTAAAAAAACGCTAACCAGAAAAATTAATTTAAACTCTGCCCTGGAAGTTAGAAGGTCTTCATTTAGAAGAGTTATGACGCCTTATCATGAGTTCCTTCGGAAGTCACTAGGTTGATGCTCCTTCTGACAACTAGAGCAACCATTAATTTAGGTACATGGAATGCTTGTACAATGTGGGAGACCGAGACAGTCTTCCGAATTGCTGTTTTCTGCTGTAGACATTAACATCGTTGAATACTGGCTCAGTGATCTTTAAGATTAGAGTAATGAATGAGAACTACTGAAAAGTTCTGTTTAAAGATGAACAGATTGTTCAATACTTCCAGATTTTAAATAATGATCTAGTCAAGATCATTTTATGATTAAAAGTTATGAAGATTTTCTAAACTACACAAATTCGCTTATTCTAAAATAATAATAATAATAATAATAATAATCAACAATCACGTAGTAGACAAAAATGTATGACCTCAGTAAAAAATCCAGACTAGATTGATCGTTTATCACTAACTATAAAACTGTATGAGTAAGTAAAATCTAAAAAAATTATTTAAATACCAAGTTTTAGGTAACAAAACTTTTAATCCAAGATTACAGTAATGTGAATATTCTTTAGAAAAGTTACTACAGCGACCCATACAAATTTCTGAGCAATTAATCTGTCAGAGGTGCATTTTATTACGTCAGCTAATTTATGTATTCCATCAAATAGTTAAAACTAATTACAAATCTAATCGTGGATTGGTTGAAGTTAAACATTAACACCGTTGGATGCCGGCTCAGTGGTCTAGTTGGTTAAGCGCCTGACGCGAGACTGATAAGTCTGGGGTTCGAATCTCGCGGGGGGCGGGAACGTGGATGTGCACTGCTGAGGAGTAGTCCCACAATAAGACGGAACGGCTGTCCAGTGCTTCCAGGTTTTCCATGGTGATCTAGCTTCAACTGACTCATGATTTCAACCAGTGACAAATCTAATTACTAGGAAAGTCAAATGATATCACCATGATCGTGCGTATATTTCTCATTTCCACCATCCATTAAAGAAATAAGAACCAATTTCTACAGAAATACACATATCAGATATATTCACTATTGGAAAGAGATGTCATGAGAGCAAAAATTTATGAATGAATATGAATAGCTGAGAATTCTTTACTATAGTCAAATATTTGATATTCGATAGAGTAAGTATTATAACAATCATTATCAATGTTGTTATTCAAAGGATGAGTTCATATTTGTGACTACTGAGCTTTCGAGATACAAGAGAACAGTTGATACACACAACAAAGCTGACTAAAAAAATTTCAGAATTGAAAAATAAAATCGTATATTTACATAATAATATTCCAATGATAAACTATCTGAGAAATAAGATTGATACTTGATAACAATATATGAAGATCTCTGTCAATTTACAGAAAAAAAGCCCTCAAACGCCTTGGTAAGGATACGAGTTGGGAAAGTCAGCTCTCCCTTTCCGAATAGTCTCACATGGTAACGAGTATACAACTACTACCAAGGATGTCGCATATCTATTTGGTGCCCCTTTGTACCAACATCTATATGTTTAAATAATAAGTGCTACAAAATATTGCTTTCTGTGAAGCAAGAAATAATCTACGTTACATTCTGAACAATATTGACTAATTATAAATTCATGTAAAATTTAAAGACAGAGGATCGGCTGGGGAGATTTGACATTCTATAACTTTGAACTTTTGAAGTACCAAACAGTGTCTTTCGTAAATGGATCCAGAATAATAAGGCTGATACAGTTATGTAAATAATGAACCATTGTAATCATGTAAACCCATACTTCTACCAGAAGTTGAAGCTGATGATGTTGTATAAGACACCAATGCAAGCACTATATTTAAATTATCTAGCTTTTCGAACTAAACACCTTCCAAAAAGATCCACTAAAGCTTTAAATCTACTTCATTCTACATCAAACATATTTCGATTAATGCTAACGCACTGAATTTTTTAAATTGATAAATACTGTTTAGCACAATCACAATTGATTGATCACTCGGTGGTGATCAATGTCATGTGTGTCAAGTTTTTCTTAGTGCAAATCGAATGCTATCGACCAAGTTGTAATGTGGCCACTAGTCTAGGTGACTCGACATTGCGTGCACTATGTTGAGATAAACTGGTAGTTGGAGATAGTCAACAGGAAACCCTGGACTCGAGTTTCGTGCTATTTGGTACTCGTCAGCAAGGTGTACCTGTAATCTGTTTAGCAAATTACTAACTGAATAGAATAAGTATCGTTGCATACTCCTAACAGTATGGTATACTGATATATATTCACTTATATATTAGAATAAACTAAACACAAAAGAATTCCACTACTTCTAAATACAATAAACATATGATGTGTCAATAAATGGCATTACAATAACAAAAAATATATACTAGTATAGGGGTTGTGGAGATTATTAAGTTTTTGATTGAGATCATGAACCGATCGATGTTAGACCACCATTGAAAACCTGGAAGCAATGGACGGCCGTTTCGTCCTATTGTGGGACTCCTCAGCAGTACGCATCCACGATCCAACACCCCGCGAGATTCGAACCCAGGGCCTCCGGTCTCGCGCGCGAACGCGTAACCTACTAGACCATTGAGCCGGCATCCAATGGTGATAGTGTCTAACATCAACCAATCCACGAAATTGAGCGACCATCTTCGATTGTACTGAAGTAGATACCTGTCTCTACTCGACATATATATATATATATATATATATATATATATATATACAGTACATTGTGACTTCACAAAAAAGGAAATCTTATCATAATGTGAGGAAAACAAATAGCCGGAATTAATTTTTAATAGAAGAAATCTCCACAAAAAATATTATTTATTGTTTTAATTTATTATTACTTTAAGGTCCATAGGATATTTCACTTCAATGACAAAACCAAGATCTGAATCAATTTCTTCAAAACATGAATGTAATAAAGGAAATGGTTGTAATTCTATTGGATCTAGATCTTCTTCATTCATTTCTATGGTCAAAAAAGGAAACAAAGAGAAAGAGAAAAAAAGAACATCATTGAAGAAAAATGAATCAGCTGATCGATTTCTTCTTTTTTTAATATGCCATTAAATTTATGATTCGTTAACTAGATTATTTAGGCTGACCTCATAACAAATATGTTAAAAGTACAAAAAGTACAATAAGATGAAATAATAATAGTAAATGTTTTTTCTAAATGAGATCACATTCATAGTTGACATAATGTTTCTGCTGATGATGTCGTCCAGAAGAACGATGAAAGCTCCACGACAAAACCATCCAGCTCAGAGAACAAAACTCCGTCAAAATCATCCACTTGAGCTACAAATCTTCTCCACTATCTCAAAATCATTTGATTGGAAATTTTATGTAATTAATTGATTCTTTAAACAATGTATAAACATTCAATAGATTGTAATCGAATAATTTGTCAGATCAATAAACTATTATATCCTGATAAGAATGAGGAATAGTGGTAACTGTTGGAATCTATTTCTGAACTAATACTATACGTATATTTTTATCGTATAATTGTTAAATAACTAAACTATTCATATTCTTGTTCCTCTTATTATAAGCTTTATATTGACTTATGAACTATTACTATATGATTTACCATTCTTGAGCTTTGCCCAGTCTCCCAAACACTATCTCCCTCATTCACAGATACATTTGGCTAAATCTTGTACAAATGTTGTTTCCTACTTTATTGGTACGATCTGGTCTGTCTGGTTCGTATTATAAACCCAAAATGTTTGAAATACATGATTCATATCACACAGGATGAGACTGGTGTTCTGGATTTCATCAGGCAGGGCTAGGCGGGAAGCAGGACCGATAAAGACTCTAGAATGCTCGTACTTGTTTTATGCATCGTTGGTCCGGTCGATAATTAACTGTTCTCTAATTGACAGTATCATCACGTTATACATTGATAGGACACAGGGCACAAGTTAGACAACAATGTGAAATAACTATTTACCATCAATATTAATATGTTCAAATGTTGAAGATACCGATCTCCGATAACACAAATATTATTTTACATTAGCAAGTGTTAAGTATATATACATACTTGGGATAAATGTTCATCAGTTTAGATTGTTATACATCGTCATAAAACAAGGAAAGGGGAAGATAAAAAAAGGGGGAACCAAAGAAAGAGGATGTATTTTATCAGGAATTGAGGTACAAACATTTCACTCAGAGTTAAACGATTGTCAAATTTCCTCAACTTATATTCTGAACACTTTAGTAACTGAATATTTATAAGTTGACCAGTCGACACGCTTTTTTGTTTGCTAGTACCCTAAGACTGATTTCAATATGGTCAAATATTTGGAGTCTATACACATGTTCTACTATGTTTTACAGTCTTAAAAAATTGTGGAACGGACTGTCATGTAGGGTACTCGGCCCTTGATTGACGCTGGTATATATATATGTATAAACTACAAGAACGATGAAGGCCATGGCAGTCATCGATAAGGCAAATGAAGAGTTTAAATTTTGAAGATATAAATGGTTATAAGGAGAACGAAGACGGATGTGGCACAAGTCTATTGCCAAAAATAGGGAATACTTTAAAGGAAACAAGAATGAAGTACTGCAAAATTTGCAGCATAATACATCATGGTTTCAACTAATGTATTTACTGAACCAAATACTATATGGATATATATACATTAAATGAACTTTATGATAGAATAAGGTTGTAAACATGTTTATGTTTATAGAATATATATTACAGAGTGATTTAGCCGTGAATTTTTCGTTATAGTTGTAGACAACATCGTAAGCATATACTGTAAGTAGGAAATGTGAATTAATAAAATACCTCTTTAATCCACTAATGGTTTGTTCTGTTAACTTGATGGATTGTTTTTCACAGTTGTATGGTTGTTGTTCATACGCTTCGTTTCAAATAAATCTGACATTCGAGTCTCAAAATTAAAAGTATGTTAAATGCACTTGATATTGTTCGTTTGAATCTTCCCATTGATGTTCAGGACTGTAATTTATCACTTTCTTATTGGAATATGCGCATACTGTGTGTATTGCCTCGATATTGCCTTAATTCACAAGCATTATATGCAAAGATGGATAGTGGAATCCAAGACGCGTGTTTCGTCCTATTTGAAAATCGTTAGTTGGATGTATCTGCACTTCAGAGTTTGAGCCCCAGGGTGGAACATCAACTCTGAGGTACAGGTATGTCCATCTGACAAGTCTCAAATAGGACGAAACGAGTGTCAAACTGGATTCCACTCGTAGCTACTATCCATCTTTGCATTTAACGTATGTTGTTTGTTTATTCAGTATTAAATCTGTTCTCAAATCCAAGCTTTTATTACAGATTCATTTACTGTGTACCATATTTTGAATCCTGAATAAGTTCACTATTGTTCTACTATTATTATCGCATAAAAAATATACAAATCTTTGTGTTACTCTCCTTTCAATTAAGGCAAAATGATGTTCATGTTTAGCTTAATCATAAAAAGCAAGATATAGATAATTTAAGAAATCATATTAGTTAACTAAAGAAATAAAGAGAATTCAACGAAGAAAATATTATTTATGAATATCGAATTCAAAGGAGATACAGCTGTCGAAATCTTGGATAAGTGGATTTCAAAACCCATGAATTAAACCTTTTACTCAGTCAAGCTTCATAGTGTGTTCTTAAGCCAACCTACTATTCACGTATGTGTTAAGAACAAAACTTCCCCTTTGGGCCACATCGATGTGCATCTGCAAATTTACTTGCTCCTGTGGGGTAGGTTACATTGCCTACACAAAGCGACCTTTTTCTAAAGGCATCTCAGAATACTACCTTGCGTAGTTTTTAAAAAGAGAATGCAAGACAGTTACCAGTTTAATACAGGAGCATTTAATCAACTCAGGACACGTCGCTCCGAAGGAATATTCCTTTAAAATAATCTACACAATCAAAGGAACTGGATCAAAGGGAAGCCAAATTAAAAGCTTATGCGCTGCTGAGGCTAGTTAATTTTCTATGGGATGGGGTCGCTAACACCATGCCCAACCCTCCACCCTTACCCGGGCTTGGGACCGGCAGTAACTCTGGGAGAGCTATAGGCGGAGTTTTTTTCCTACAATTGAAGAACATATGGAACTCAAAACAACTTTCAACCAATATCAAAGTCACAATTTTCAATACGAACGTCAACACAGACAGTTCTACTATACGGAGGTGGAGCGTGGAGAACAACAACCATCATCAAGACTGTACAAGTATTTATAAATAGTTGTCTACGCAAGATACTCAACATCCATTGGCCGGATACCATCAGAAACAGGCTACTGTGGGAGAAAACAAACCAGCTTCCAGTTAAAGAGAAATTAGGAAAAGACGATGGAGTTGTTGGATAGGATATACATTACGCAACTCATCAAACTGCATCACGAGGCAAGCACTAACTGGGAATCCTGAAGTGAAGTGGAAAAGAGGAAGGCTAAAGAACACATTACGTCGGGAAATAGAATCAGATATGAAAAGGATGAATAACAACTGGAAAGATCTGGAAAGGATTGCCCAACACAGTGTTGGATGGAGAGTGCTGGTGGGCAGCCTATGCTCATCGACGAGGAGTAACAGGCGTAGGTAAGTAAGTTAACAATTTTTGATGATTACTATCCAGTTTATATTATTATGCCCTTTATGTTTATTCTGTTTGTTTTTATATATGTCAATCAGACAATTATTTTTCATAATTCTAACCCTATAAATTATTTCAATCCTTCTAATTTCTTAAATATCACATAATTTTATTTGATATATAGAGTCTTGATTCACTCTATGATATAATCTTTTCTATCCTTCTACAAACATAGAATTTTCACACAAATGTACTCAGTAGTTAAGTGGATAACGAGTAGGTGTTTGAAATGAACGGTATAAGGTTCGAATTTCAGAATGAACATCAACTTAGAGATGCAAGTACATCCAACTGACGAGTCACAAATAAGTCGAAACAATCGTTTAAATGAATAAGTTCATTGACAAAAAGAAAAAAAATTTTGTATTGAATTCCCTATTTTTTATTTAATAACTAACTACCAAAAAGAAAAAAAATCAAATTAGCAACAATCATAACTTACTTTCATGAGTATGACTTTCTTTTAAAACACTTGAATGACGAACATTTAATTCACGTAGATCGTTATAATTTAAATCTTTAATAGCTACACGTAAATAACATAATTGACCACCCCTTTTCTGAATAAGAAAGAAAAAAACAACAGAAAAATTGTTTTGTTTTTTTAATTTTTTCAAAGAAAAAATAAAACAGATTAGTTTTTAGTTTAAAACACAAATTCCACCCACCAATATGGATCAGTCTACTTTTCAGTGACTTGATGGGTTTGTGCCATGTTTTGGTCTGACCGCCCCTAGCTTTCTTCCAACCTGCTCTCACACCATAAAACATCGCATATCGGGGCAGTCGGTGGTTGGGTATATGTAGCACATGTCCCAGTCATCTCAACTGATAGAGTTTCACTACTCCACCAATTGATTTTCCATCGTTACCTAGTACCCGTTTCCTAACAACTGCACTACTTACTTGTTGGTCCCAGGATATACGAGCGATGCTTCTGAGACATATATGATCGAATACTAGTAACCTACGAATATCCTCTACTCTTACCGGCAATGTTTCACTGCCGTAAAGTAGGACGGAACAAACTGCTACGCAGTAAATACGTCCTTTGGTTGGTAGACGGATATCTCGCCTACGCCATAAATGACGCAAGAGCTAGTCGAGCCTTCTGTATCCGTGCGTAGATTTCGTCACACACCAGACCACAAGGGCTGATGAGTTTCCCAAGATGTGATAAACAAAGGAATGAACTGAAAATAGACTAAGAGTAAGAAAAACCAAATTATTAGATTTAATAGTTGAATTATTGAGTCATTGGAAGCTAGACCACAATGAAAAACATGGAAGCACTTGACGGCCGTTTCGTCTTATTGTGGGACTCCTTAGCAGTGCACGTCCACGATACCACCCCCCTCGAGATTTGAACCCAGGACCTATGAGTCACGCACGCGAGCGATTGAGCTCTAGACCGCTGAGCCGGCCAGCATCCAACGGTGTTAATGTCTAACTTCAACTAATCCACGAAATTGAGCCACACATCTCATATCGTCAGTAAAAACACTAAAGAGAAATAAGCTACTTCAAATTTCATCACATATAACTAATCAGTTGTTATATCAACATAAAAATTTGACAGAGTCCTATTAATCCATATTTTGATATTGTCTGTGTATATTTATTTTCATAATCTTTTCGTTTGACCTAATTTTCGACTTAAAGATTTTATTAATCAGTTGATAAATCAGATTGATTTCGACAAATTTATTGATTGCTAATTGATCTATGTATATTTCTGCTCTTCATTGTATTCCCTTCGGTTTAACTTTTCAAATGTTACGACATATCTTTTACTCATATTAATGCAGACATACAATTGTGGCTACCAGACCAAAACATGGCACAAATCTATGAAGTCACTGACAAGTGGACTGAGCCATGTTCGTAGGTGTAGACTACCTGACTGGGATTCACAAGACGATAGAAACCGACATCGTTTGCAATGCAATGGCACAGGTTCATCCAATCTTTGTGTTCTCCCAAATTCTAATCTTATGAATTCTTCATGTCCCTTACTTTTTTCCCTCTCTCTCTCTCTCTCACACACACACACACACAATTTTGCATTTGTTATTTAATCATGTTCGAAAAATACTCAAAACAATAATATTTAGATGAATGTTTCATCCTGTGAATAAAACTTCTTAAGTTTATTAACATATTCAACCCTGGAGCCGAAAGTGTTTGTCTATACATAGTTAAATGATAAAGGAATTTTCATACTGTAATCTATGTTATGGAATTTTAGCTAAATGTAGTATTTCTATGCTTGGAAAAAAAACATTTGTACCATTGAAGTTGGCGTCTGTTTGTTACAAAATCTATGATAGATTTAACATATAACTAGGAATTATGTACATATAATGCGTCCAGTGAATAAGTGAATTAAGGAAGTGACAATAAATTTATAAAATTGTGATAACAGTTTGTGAAGAATAAGGCAATCAAATGAACAGCTCTCTTTGAAAAGATCAAGTAGCTTAGAATTTGGACTGTAAAGATTCTTACGAATGATGAAAGATTATAATGATTATTTTGGCGAAAAAAGGATTGAATTATACTGTCTGTCTTGTGATATTCAATCACTGATTGAATACTAGAATAGTTGGTAATTAGATGAATCCCAAACAATTGTTTGGTTGTTATTCAAGTATATGTGTCGCCAATCCTCATATGGAATCATCCAGTTAAATGGCTTTTGTGAATAACGAAATCAAATAGGAGGATGGATTTTTAAATACGTATATTTCATACAATCGTTGATCAGAAAGCGAAGCGAAATAAAATGCCTCGCAGTGGAGAAGGCATGTGAGCCAACTTGATATTATAATCAAGCGTTAATCGATATTTATAATTAGATAAAAATAAATTACAGACATGTGATAAATAGGATCAGTCAGTCATTTACAACGTAGGACCAGGCACACACGTACATCGCTCCAAGTTACCATACCTTATTAGCACAAAAAGATGAACACCGAATTCATAGAAGTAGTTACTTCAATTGTAGTAATATATAAATGAAAGATTGGGTATAACGATATAATACAGGAAGAAAGATAGTCACGCGGAACCTAACTAAGTAGTCCGCATCTACCAACATGGCTAAGACTAGGAGTTAGTGACTTTAAGGATTGATGCTACGTTTTGGTTTGGCCGCTCCTAACTGATGAATAGGTTAAGAAGTGAACACACACGCTCAAATAAAAACGGACAAGGTTGATAAGCGAATAATTAACATGGTCAAAATGCAACTCAAGGAGAATGAATAAACTGGCTTTTTCTGAAGCCAGAATAAGCTATGTGGGCTTAACATAGCTGACGACACTAGAGATATGCTTTCAGAGAAACATTTGATGTTAGCAAATTTAGACGTAAACGTAGATGACAATACAGATGAACAGATTGAATATTGGGTGTTTTGCATACATTCTGTCCAATAGAAACTGAGATAGGATAGGATTACAAGTTTCTTACTTTCTGAATAAACTATATATGCATAATATTCATTTCATATATTCTATAGATCTCAAATAAAAGCATTCCAGTGACTTTATACTAACAGTAGGCAAAAAAACAATTACATTCACTCGAATATATTCTACATACAGCAGATACACATATAAATATTTCTAAGTTGGTACAACATAATAAATAATAATTGAAAATTATTGAATATCATTAGCTAAACGATAATTAACATCACTGGATGCCAGCTCAGTGGTCTAGTGGTTAAGCGCTCACGCGCGAGACTGATACGTTCTAGGTTCGTGTATTACAGGGGGCGGGATCGTGGGTGCGCACTGCTGAGGAGTAGTCCCACAATAGGACGAAACGGCCGTTCAGTGCTTCCAGGTTTTCCATGGTGATCAAGCTTCAATTGACTCATGATTTCAACTATTGACATTAATATCTACAAAACCACTTCTGATATTAAACGATAATTATCAAAATGTTAAATGGTAATAACTAATTGTAATGCATTCAGTTGGAATTATTTAAATGTAATGTAACATACATTTCTGTAAACTTTTATATTTTTCATATTATACTTTGATTCTAATCTCATTTGGGTTCTTTTTCTTTTCAAACGGTTGTCAGATATTTATTTGACAGTGAATCACATGGTTGAGAGTTATAATTTATATTTTGAAGCTGTTAATCTAGTGTACTATTGATTTAATTATTTGGTGCCCAGTATAATATCACAGAAATTTCTAAGATTGTCAATTGGGAATGTTTACACTTTCACCGTTATCTCAATCATAATGAATAAAGTATTCAACAAACCAAAAAAATAAATAAGATGAACTAAAGAAGGAACGAATCGAGTGAAGAAATTTCTTTCCAATTAGTTTTTCATCATAGATCTACACTAATATCTATATCTATACGATTTACAATAATGAAATAATACTCATCGAGTGAATACGCTACGTACATATCTGGACAGCATCATTGATGAACACGGTGGATCTGATGCAAACGTAAAGGTGCAGATCGGCAAAACAAGAGTAGCACATTTACAACTGAAGAATATCTGGAACTCAAAACAATTGTCTGTCAAACAACACCAAGGTCGGAATTTTCAATACAAATCTCAAAACAGTTCTACTGTATGGGGCAGACACTTGGAGAATTACGAATGCCATCATCCAGAACATACAAGTGTTTATTAACAGTAGTCTAGGCGAAATACTTCGAATCCGTTGGCCAGACATTATCAGCAATAACCTACTGTGGGAGAGAACAAACCAAATCCCAACGGAGGAAGAAATCAGGAAGAAGTGATGGAAGTGGATAGGACACACATTAAACAAAGCACACAACTGCGTCACAAGGCAAGTCCCCAAGGCCAAAGAAGGAGAGGAAGACCAAAGTACACAATACACCGAGAGATGGAGACAGACATGAGAAGAATGAACAATAATTGCATAGAACTGGAAAGGAAGGCGCAAGACAGAGTTGGCTGAAGAATGTTGGTCGGCAGCCTATGCTCCATTGGGAGTAACAGGCGTAAATAATATTAAAGATACGTTACGCAATAATTATATAATGGCATATCAATTATAAACTAACATTGAGTGATTGGAAGGAAGAGGATTAATAATAATCAAAGTAATTATTCGAAAATCAAGCAGTTACTACGTTGCATAATATATAGAAAAAAGAGAAGAAAATAACAAAATATTTTGATGAATGCTTCGTTATCGTATAACAGAATACAATCCGTTGTGGTTCTCGTTCACTTGGTGAGCACAGGTCATTGAGTGGAATTAAATAAAACTTTTAAGGTTATCCACCATATCCCATGAAATTTGCCACATAGCTTACTTGTTCATCTTGTGCACATAGCTGAAGTCATTTCAATCCGTGTTCACAAACGGAACCTTTGCATCCAAAAGAAGTTTGTACAACCGCTCTCGCTACCTTGGCTATCGGTATAGCAGAGTTTAAAGCAGAACTTTGATAAACTATCTTCGTATTTCTTCCATTTTCTTTTGTATTTTACTTATTCTCAACATTCGTCTCTTGATTTTTACATAACTACTATACTATTGATTATTCATCAAAATATTTCATTAGTTCCTTCTTCCCTTCTTTATATCATGAAACGTACCAACTGCTTGATTTTCGAAGAACTACTTTGATTATTCAATAGTTGAATTCATGAGTTGAATAAAGCTAGACCACCATGGAAAACCTGAGAGCGCTGATCAGCCGTTTCGTCTTAGTATGAAACTCCTCATCAGTGTACACTCACGACCTAGCCTTGCGGGATTCGAACCCAGGACTTATCGGTCTACCGTGATGATTGATTATTATTATTTCCTCTTCCTTCCAATTACTCAATGTTAGTCTATAATCGATATATCATTATGTAACTATTACGTAACGTATCCACTGGATGAGTATTATTTTATTGTTGTATATCATATAGATATAGATATTAATGTAGAGCCATCATAAAAAACTAAATGAAATGAAGTTTCTTCGCTTGATTCCTTCATTCTTTATTCATCAAATGTCAAAATGGGAATTTTCACTATATATAAAAAAAGAATAACAATTAAGGAATTTTATGCTCTACAAACTAGTCTGTTCGACTATTCAATCAAATTGCAATGTAATATTAATTCATATTTTTTCAGTCAATTGATGAAGTAAAATCAAAAATGAGACGAAACTCGAATTTAAAATTAAAATAATAATCAAATGATTTAATTCATAAGTTACAAATATCATAAGTTTAATAACAAATGAATGATTTTCTATCATAAAATATTAAGTGTTTCCATAAATCAATGTACTTTTAATGTCTATTATTATGTCACCTATATATAACACACACACACACACACACATTTATATATACATATAAATCATACAAAATGAAAATTATTCACATTGTCTAAATCATTCATTATGATTATGATTATGATTATGGTAATGGTCATTTAACAAATCCGATTTTATTGATCAGTTTTGTAAAAAGAAAATCTATTCAATAATATAATAACAGTAATAATAATAATGGTAATCATAATAATAGTAATATAATAATAATAATAATAGTTCTGTTTTATTTGTGACAGTTAAAGTATGAAAGATTCATGATTTCAGCAATCACTTATAAATTAATTTGATCTAGCTTAATATCATTAAAGAAAAATCACATAGATGCAGATTAGACAACCTAGTTCACCGTGTTAAATAGATTGGTTGGCTAATATATATTATATATATATATATATATATATAATAAGAAAAAATAGCTCCGCAAAAGGAATTGAGAAGATATTCAGTAAGTCAGCAACAACATAGAACTTCGTACATACGCACATCAGTTCGAGTTGCCACACCACATTAACATAGAGATGCAGTTGTCGATTCAAATCCCATAGTGGTAGAGGTAGTAAGAGTATAAGCAGTAATTGGAAAGATTATAGTTTGAAGATGTTATTCAAAGAGTAATATCCACTGAAACAAAGTTGGAAAGAGAAAAATAAAAAACATGAAGAATTCAGTAGAATAAAATTTGGAGAAGAAAAGGAATGAACCGCTATCCTTAAAAATCTCAAGGGTAAACCTGTCAGAGCCTGCTGCTCTCCCTCGCTTCAGATTTCCTATAGCTTTTTCAAATTCATAAAGAGTCGGAGGACCTACATTAACTTGCCATTCAGGTTGACTGGAGATCGTGGCAAACCGAAGTGTGGCTGAAGGCCAGTTGAACTGATCCCTAAAGTGTTCTGCCCATCGATCCAATCTCCTGGATTGAGAATGTATAATATGTTCATCTTTCTCTGAGAGTGTTTCGCTAACAGTCGGGTTCCCAATACCGGTTTCATTATCAAGTCTGAACAGTTGTCTGCTATTACCTATTGCCACTGGCTTTTCTATCTCTCTTGCTTTCGCTAACCACCACTGTTCACGATCATTGCATAGGCTTATTGTCAGCTTGCGCTTAAGCTGACTCCGCTCTTCGTCATGTTTAAAGCCAGATAGAATGAGTTTACGAGCATCTATCAGTGAGGTAGATGCTGTTGAGATCCAGTGTTTCTCCTTAACCTTGTGGTTTACCTTACTAGCAGATATCACTACTGTTTCCACAGCTTTTCGGATATCATTCCATGCTGCATCGGGGTGGGCATCACATACATGGCTACCTAACTGTTTTCCTAGTTTCCCCTCGAATTTACTCTTAGCTTTACTATCATTAAGTAAAACCCTAAGAGGTTTCCTTGCATCATCTTTCCTACGTCCAGTAAGACGCAGGAAAACACGTGCTCGCACTAGAGCATGATCTGAATCTAAGCATGTGCTCCAGAATGAGCGACAGTCTTCTATCGAGCCCCTCCATCGTTGGCTGATAGCGATGTGATCTATTTGGGTCCAACGTTAGGATGAATTAGGCGGTCGCCACGTCAGAAGATGTTTTTGCTGATGCTTACAGTTAGTATTTGCAAGAAACAGACGGTTATCTGAGCATAGCTGCAACAGACGGTCGCCATTATCTGTTCTTTGAGCCACCACACCAACAGAAGCCCCTTGCAGCTTCCTTTCATACCACGACATCAAGTCATACACTGACCAACTCTCTGCCCTTTCCAACCAGTCGCAGCGTCGGAGAATAATGCAAGACGTGGAATTCTCTGGGACGACATTCGTAGAACATGTCCAAACCAACAAAGCCGATGTTTCAAGATGGTGACATCAATTAAATTATCTTCTCTGTGCCCGAACAAACGATGCCGAACCTCTGCATTACTAACATGGTGTTGCTACTGGATTTCAGCAATCCTACATTTAACTTAGAGCGTGGAAACCGGGAATAATGTTCCACGTACTCGAATCGCTCGCATTAGCGGCGGGAGGTGATAAAAGGACGTGAGAAGTGTTAGTCGTGGGGGTAAGAGAGGTATTGGAAGGTGTAGGAAGGATTTGATTGTGACTAACTTGGTCTCGTGTGTTCTTACGGGTATGAGGGCTGATGTCACTTCCCGGCTGACCACACCGTCGAAGGGTATTTCTTGAGGAACCTGAAAAGGAAGTTGGATTAGTGTTGGTCTTAACGAATTGGGAGTGTGACCACAGAGCCGAAAGGACAACTACTTGAAGCCGGTCACGCACGACCGTTTTGTGGGAAGTTTTTCACGTGTTGACTCCGTTCTTCAAAGGGCCTTACTGCTGGAGACGGAAATCCGTGAGGTAAGGTGAGGTGTGTCATTTTTATGGTCGACCTCAGACCTTGAGTTTCTTCTTTTAGTCTTACCGTTCTCAAATCGACCTTCCTGGCTTGGCTAGGGTTAGGACAAGACGTTCATAAAATGAGAATATGATAAAAGATAGATATTTGAAGTTTGAATACGTTTAGGGTAGTAAGAGTGGAATATAGACTGAGTGTTTTTTATAATATCGTGAACTCTTCAGTAAAATGTAGTTGCTACAAATTATCCGAAATATTGTCAACATGATGGAAACGATGGAAAAATAAAGGTACCTGTTTATAAGAATCGTATATAAGAGGAGAAATTTATTAGATGCTGTTCTAAAAACCACCCATTAGTTACTTCATAATATATCATCTTTTCGATTAGAAGTGATCTGCAAATGAAGCTTGTGTATAATAAATGAAAAGAGAGGCAATGGTGGATAAACCATTAATATCTCTCACAAAAAGATAAGGAATCATAATGTAAGCCAAAAAAAACAATTGAATATTTGAAGATTTCTAATAGTGCACTTTAATAATCATTAAAAAAAGCTTATTTTCTTGCATTTCATGTTTTGATATTCTTAATTTGACAGTTCATTGATCATTGCGTAGTGATCAATGTCATGTGTGTCACATCCTTTTTAATGCAGATCGAATTCTATAGATCAAGGTGCAATGTTACTTGACATTAGATGTACTATGTTGATATATAATGTGGTTCAAGTATACCCTGGACCTAGGTTTCGCGTCGTTTGGCATTATACAATAAGGTGTACCTGCAATCCTGAGGGAACTGACGTTCCCTGGTGCTATGTTTGAGTAGTTTACCAAATCTATGAACGGAACGAAGAATCTGTGACCCAATGACAGCAAAGCTAGCTATCCCAACGCGTCCCAGCCCCGTTAACTAGACAGAGAAGTCCAAGTTCGGAAGTGGGAAACATATTCCACAAGCAACAAGAAGTATGAACAACTACGACAAGTTTAGTTGGAAATACACTCGTTTATTTATTGATTCATACACCCATTTCTCATTAATAATTAGGATAAAATCACATATATGAAAAATACTTAGTTATGACAAATCATATGCTGAATATAGTTCATGTTAGCTTAATACAAGAATATCGTATGTCACTCTGAGAAACAGAAACAAATACTATATTGAGTGAGCATCACATTGAATTAAAACGGCATTAATATTGAACAAAAATTATGAGTAAATTAATCTAATTTTGACTTTTCATCCTGTCATATCAGAATTATAAAAATAAGGCATTTACCAAGTGAGTTTTGGGGATCTAACATCCCCAACACCTGGTGGATTCGATCTTGTGTCACCAAGCTTCATAGTCAGACACATTACAACTGAACTATCCGACCAGTGACTGAACAGTAGGAGTGAGATATATTTACAATTGATTGATTACCGAGTGCTGCCCAAAGTTGTGTGTGTCAAATCCTTTTTAGTACAGATCGACCTGGAATTGTACCCAAAACGTTTCAAGTCTCATGGTGAGCGCTTAATCTTTAAATCACTAAATCGTAATCCAGTAGTTTACATGTTTAACTTCAATCACTTCCTGATTTTGTGTAACCTTCATCTAATACGATTATTATTAAGTAACAGCCTCAAACCTGACATGTATATTGTATAACTATTGAAAAATAATACTTACCTTTTTTGATATGACTACAGCATCAAAATCATGATAAACAACAACATGATGATCTTTAGTTAGTTGGACATCCATTTCAACAAAATCAGCTCCCTTGATAATAACGATTTTATATTTTCATGTCCAATATAGTATGACGGGCGAGAGAGTGAGCAGAAATGGTACGAGATAGAGAAAAAAACAATAACAATTAAATGAAGTGAGGAATATAAAAAAACATTCAGACATATGAATAAGAAATAGAGCAGGTTAAGAACTGATCAATAATAGAAGTTCCCTATGATATGAAACAGCACACACACACACACACACACAAGGGAGATTGATGAATGTAAATCTCGCAATTACAAATCATGCAAACACATACACATTGAACAAAGAATGTCTAAAGAAAAAAAAAGAAATTGACTAGAGCAGAAAATGGAAATCAACATTTTCAATAATCAATCAAATTATTCTTTAATGTAAAGAAAAAGAATGGTAAAATGAAAACAGTTCATTGAAATGATATTCACAAGGGGTTTTGTGAAGATTTTAGTAATTTCAATAGTTGAAATCATGAGTCAATTGAAGCTAGATCAACATGGAAAACCTGGAAGCACTGGATGGCTGTTTCTTCCCATTGTGGGACTCCTCAGCAGTGCGCACCCACGATCTCACCACCCGCGATACTTAAACCTAGGACATATCAGTCTCGCGCGTGAGCGCTTAACCACTAGACCACTGAGCCGGACGAAACGGCCGTCTATTGCTTCCAGGTTTTCCATGGTAGTCTAGCTTCAGTTGGCTCATGATTTCAACGATTGAAATTCCCAAATTCTCCACAAAAACCCCTTCTGAAAATTATATAGACTTGATTTGCTTATGTTGAATCGTCGAATGTAAAGTAATCGATCAATCCATTTTTTTTATTAATTAGACATTTGAAACAGGAAATCGGTATAGTCAATAAGAAAGTTCGTCTAAATTTGATCGAATAGTTTTTTCATATTATTTGGGCGCCAAATTGATGTGAGACATTAAATAGGAAGAATGTATTTGTAAAATCTCAACGTTTCACTTGGTAATTTGGTCTAAGCTTTTTCAAGGAAATATAATCAAACATCGAAATGATCGGAAATATCGAAATAGGTATCGTCAATAAGAACATGAAAGGGATTTTATAAAAAGGAATCAAAGAGAAAATGTCAGTCAGTCAGTCAGCTACAACGTAGGACCAGGCACATATGTGCATCGGTCCAGGTTGCCATACCGCATCAGCACAACAAGATGAACACCGGATTCACAGCAGTGGTTAGGTCAAAGATAGTAATATATAAGAGAAAGATTGCATATAGTGATATAGTACAAGAAAAAATTGGTTCGTAGAAAGGTTGGAAGCGATTTTAATCTCTTAGTTTAGGGGAAGACAGAGAGTGTGTACACCTATGCCATTGTGATCGATTCCGAGCCATGTCACCAAAAGTCTCCAACCATTGGTTACGACAGTCACGCGGACCCCAACCAAGTAGTCTGCATCTACCAACATGGCTCAGACTAGAAGTTAGTGTCTTCAAGCACTGATGCCACGTTTTGGTTTGGCCGCCCCTAACTTTCTTCCAACCATCTCCAGTACCGGATAGCATTGCACGTCGTGGAGGAAATGTAATGAAATTATGTGTATTTTAAATATTCAGATTAAAATTACAAAAATGAAAACATTCGAAAACTGTTATGCGTTGTAATTAAATAAACACAAGTAGTATTCTTCATTTTTCACTGAGGTATATGAGACTGATCACATTTTATATTCATTATTTAAACATATAGACATTGGTATAAGGAGGCACCAAATAGATATGCGCCACATAAGTCATTCGGTTTATGTGAAGGATGGGATATTGTTCGCGTGCCCAAAACAAAGCAGATGGTTTACTTAGGGAGCCACACTCAGAGCCTTTGACCTAAAGGTCCAATCCACAAGGTAGTGGAGCAACGTAAGGAGATGCAGTCACATGATAGCCGGTGATCAACGATTGCTTTGTGTGCCATTTTTCTTCCAGGGAACTGCAGCCCATGTTCACCATTAGTTTGGAATCAGGGTTTTCCAACTCTCTTAAGTGGACTCTCCGTGTCCACCAAACAGGTTAAAGCGCCGGACATTCACTTTTCGTCCTCTCAATTTCGTAAACGACAGTAATGCCGCGAGAATGCAGTGAGTAGGACTCCCCTGGCAGTGGTTGTATGCACGTGGCCATGTGAGAGCAATTCGAGAGGAAGAGCTGACTCTGACAACTCTCGACTGTACCAGGGTAGTTGGAAGCTAATGATCACATTTTACACCAATCCGTGTGAACTTTGATAGCAAGTGATCAAATTATACCATACTGTATTGTGTTGAGAAAATTTGAAAAAAAGAATAGTTGTGATCCAATTCGCTGGTAGAGATATATTATTCTTTGAATAACACCAGAAATGTCATTTTAACGTAATATATCATTTTTGAGAGGAGGCGAAAGATTGACGATGATCAATACAGAAGACTGTCAATAAACAATAGAGAAACGATTCTTCATTCTTTATTCGATACCAGTTTGTAATATGGTACTGAGTACCATTAGAAACAGTTTCATCAAAATATCTAATCTAAAATAGTTCCCACACAAAAACAGTTATTTCATTTCAACTAAGTGGGAAACCAGAGAAAAAAACACAATTCAGAAGTGAAATGTAGAACAAAACTATAAACAAAGTAAATAAGACTAAATTAATCAAAGAGGAAAATTACATGTTGGACAGCCGTCCGAAACGAATCCAATGTATTTTCTCTAGTTGTCGGTGATCTGTAAAAAAAAATTAAGCACATTAAATAACTGTACAATGTGTATGCCAACATAAAACAAAGCAGAACTGAGAAGCAAAAATCATATTACTGATGGAGATAGCAAATTCTAAATATTATATTGACGAGACTATAATTTATGGATGAACCAATCAGATATAAGATAACGAGTCTGGGGTTTTTGGCGCGAAATTCATTCATACATTTGGTTAAATAGAGTTTTGGGATTATAGTTGATGTCAGTTCGTGATGAAAACCTTAAATCTAATTCCTAACCCTAACTATCAACTGTAAATGAGAATTCTAACTGCTTTCTAACCCTCATATGGTCCAAACCAGTAAGTGTCCACTCTTAAGGTCACTTCGGCGTCGCTCAAAGGTCGTCCATAAATTATAATCTTAACGATTATATCACATGGAATTACTTTCAGTCTATTAAATTTATTTACACCCTTGCTATACTATATGAATATGTCTTTAATATAACTTCCAATCAAACTCCTTTATGTAAGTCATTTAAACCCATTATGTAATTATGATTTTAAATATCACAGGTTGTAAGCAGCTGACGAGAACCAACGAAATAAAAATGAATTCATGCTATTCTGCTAGAATGTTTGTTCTTGCTCTTTTCAAAATGATAAAGGGAACTATGTGTATGGAATTACTTTCAATTGTATATTGTGTCAATAATATTTTCAAATCACGTGTTTACTATAACAGAAGAGTACTCTGATGTCTAAGAGAACAATTGAAAAAATAGACTTTTTTAGACAAAAGTTTATGAATTTAAATAGTTATGTATTCGAATAAACGATAATTCTAATTAGAGATGACAGATTTGATGATTATGAGACCACTTTACACCACAGTGCAGACAGTTCTACTATACGTAGCTGAAACTTGGAGAGCTACTACAACCATCATCAAAAAGGTACAAGTATTTATAAATAGTTGTCTATGCAAGATGCTAAACATCCATTGGCCGGATACCATCAGCAACAGCCTACTGCGGGAGAGAACAAACCACGTTCCAGCTGAAGAAAATTAGGAAAATACGATTGAAATGGATAGGACTCACATTACGCAAATCATTAAACTGCATCACGAGGTAAGCCCTAACATGGAATCCTTAAGGGAAGTGGAAAAGAGGAAGGCTAAAGAACATATTACGTCGGGAAATAGAATCAGATATGAAAAGGATGAATAACAACTGGAAAGATCTGGAAAGGATTGCCCAACACAGTGTTGGATGGAGAGTGTTGGTAGGAGGCCAATGCCCCTCCACGAGGAGTAGCAAGCGTAAGTAATTAAGTAAGTACACCACAGTGTTGCCGTGGTGTTCAACTCACCGACTAAGTAATGCAATAACTAGTAACACAAATATACATACAATGCTTAATTAGTCTTTAACTAAGCCTTCAAGAAATGAGAAAATAGATAATATTTGGAAATTTATTGCCTTCCCCGATCTAACACATATAATTATTCATAAAGGAATTTCACATATCATTGTAGTTTAATTACTAAGCGTATACATTTCCACTAACTACATTAAAGATTTTTACGCACTCAATATAAAACTTTTAAAATTTCGACTTGTAAAAGCATTTTTTCCCGGGTGATTCTGGTAGATTCTCTTTGAAAAGTAGAGTATTTATTAAAAATAACATTCTGCCTAAATCTAATTAGTCAGTTAGCTATTACTATATTGAAATTAGATGTATCTATTTAGTTTATTTTTCCATTCATAAATTCGTTGATTTTATTTGACCATTTATCCTTAGTGTTGATTAATGTTGACAAGCAAGCCTCATTTCATGCTGTTCACTATGTCATTAAACATTCAAGCTACAATTACTGAATAAATGGTTTCAATAAATATGAGAAAAGATGAAATAGTCATGAATAGTATATTCATTTACTGACATTGATAATTATCATAGCGGACTAGATTAAACTACAATAAATATCGGCACTGAAAAAGGTTTGTTGCAAACTAGAAGTGTAAACATTTCAAATTTCAAACTATTAGTGACACATACGCATGTACATCCAACTTATGATAGTATAATGTAAAACGTTGTAAGGAAGGTACATCTTTTTTACCTTTGATATTGTCCAATAACGAATGTCAGATTAACATAAGTTATATATCAATGGAGATTAAAGTAAACAACGAGTATCATCTTAATGAAAACATTTCTTGTAGTAAAACTAACTCATTGTGTCGTTGGAGTAGTATTTAAGACAACTGAACAACGACATTGTCAAAAAAAGTTCCTTTTAATTATATTTAAATCTCTTTTAAAACTTCATGAATAAAAGATGCTCTCTTCATTATACAATTGAACCACTATGTAATAATGTATAGAAATAATACCAAGTACAAATTCATGAATTCGGTTTCATATCCTGTGCTTTGTATGATAATTCTAGAAAGGGGGAACGATAAGGCCAACTGACATGGTGGCTGACAGTTAGAATGTAGCAACGTTTAAAATGTTCGCCCAATTGAGTCATTACGAGAAATTTCAGTCATATAATGGATAAATGTTGCATATAAGAGTGTAATTTTTATTTACAAAGAATGAAATTTTAAGCGGATAGAGTTATCCGTGATGTTTTAACATGAAGTTGTCTGATGTAGCACAGTCTGAATGGCAGACATATATATAGTAAAAATAGGCCTTCAAATAAAATCTTTCATAAAAATTACAATCTAATAGACATTATTCACATACAAAATGAAAAGAAGAATGATTGAAAGTTCTGAATAGGAATTCAATAAACATTGAAAATGTCGATGATAAATCCAGTTAATGAAGAGTTAACAAATTACCTTCTTATTAAAGTAATAAGTACTTTGACATGATTATTTGAAAATAATAATGTAATGGATAACTGTTTTATCGCAATTTACCACTCCTTTACGAGTGATGATTTCCAAGGGATTAATTAAATTAATAATTTTAGATAACAAAATGAATAGAATACTATTTAGACTTGTGAGTGATAATTTAATCAGTCGTTCATTGATCAGCTTCTATAAATGATTCTATCACTTACAGATCATAGAAAACATTTTAAAATAAATGATCCTAAATCGATTATTTAGATCGTGAATAGGTGATAATATAAGATGGTGAAGTGGATTTGTAGCTCAAATGGATGATTTTGATAGAGTTTTGTTCTCTGAGCTGAATGGTTTGGTCGTGGAGCTTTCATTGTTTTTCTGAACGACATTATCAGCAGCAGAAACTTCAAGTAGAAGTGAAGTTTGTGCTGATAATGTCGTTCAGCTAGTCAGTCAGTCAATCAGCTACAACGTAGGAACAGGCACATATGTGCATCGGTCCAAATTGCTACTATACCTCATTAGCACAACAAGATGAACACCGGATTCATAGAAGTAGCTATTTCTTCAATGGTATTAATATATAAAAGAAACATAGTACATAGTACAAGAAGAAAGAATTAGCTCGTAGCAAGAAAGATATGAAGAGATTTTAATTTCGATTCTGCGTCAAATGAACGATGAAAGCTTAGAGAACAAAACTTTATCAAACATATATATGATAATATCTTCAACTTGTGTTCATTAGTTACCTTAGTTACACATTATCAATAATACAATTTGTATACCCGTGTACATTCACTTGTTTAAATGTTGTTTTTTTTGTACAATATCGACAATATCTATTACAGTATTTAATATTTCCTCTATTTTTAACAATAGAAAATTGATTCATCTTGTCAAGTAATGTTATGACGTTCAATGAGATAAACACCTTGAATCTATTTTTGTAATTAGATTTCTCAATAAATGGTATATATATATACATAATATACCATTCTCTTTTGAGTAAACAATAATTGGTACAGTATCGAAAATAAAAAATAAAAAAAGGTAACAACAGTCATATGGTACATAATTATGACGTTTTTTTCTTCTTTAATTGTTTGATAATTATGATAATTAAACAATGGGTAGTCAAACAATCAATTTCTATTTATTATATAATGTTGTTAAAAATGAGTGAAATGCTTAAAATCTACGTTCTCATTCATTAACTATTAGTGTATAAACCATGTGGACAACAACAACAGCAACAGCAACAAAAATTGATTACGTAAACATGTAATAATAAAGATTGTTATAAGTTTGATTATAGTAAAATCAGTGAGATATATACAAAGATGGGTAGTGTCTAGCAGTGGAATCCAGGACTCACGTTTCGTTCTATTCCGGACTCGTCAGGTGGATATACCTGCATCTCAGAGTTGATGTCCACTCTGGGACATGAACCCACTACCGTTCACTTCAAATGCCATCGAGTTATTCACTTATAGCTACTGAGTCCTGATAGTCACCTGCTAGCCACTCTTCATCTTTGCTCACAAATTAGTTGTACAAATATTCAAATTATTCTACTGGCAGAGAAACTTACATATATTCTGATCATTTACAGAAAACTATCATCAACATGCCATTCATGATCAGAATCACATTTACACAAGAACTACAAACTATCCGCTTATTTTGTTCCATTATTATTATTGTTATTATTATGTAAAAACATAAAACATCAACAATTTTGTGAGTTTAGTAAAAAAATATATATATGTGTGAAAGAAACAATGATAAGAGAAAGGTAACAACGTATGTCTGTGTAGATTATTTAAACTATATATACTGACCTTAATCCGTCAGTTATTATTTTGTGACATAAACATAAATTATAGACTGTTGCTTTTATACTAAATCATTGAAATTGATCAGAAAATTTCTTGAATAAGGTTAAAATAAAATAGAACAAACCAGCAATGTTAGACCACTCCATTGAAAAGCTGGAAGCACTGGATGGCATAATCGGTCTAATGATTTTTAATTAAAAAAGTATATTGACCATATATATATATATATATATATATATATATATATATATATATATCACTTCTAGTTGCCAAAAATGTGCCTAGACAATTTACAGTTCCATG